CTCTCTCTCTCTCTGTCTCTCTCTCTCTCTCTCTCTCTCTCTCTCGCTCTCTCTCTCTCTCTCTCTCTCTCTCTCTCTCGCTCTCTCTCTCTCTCTCTCTCTCTCTCTCTCTCTCTCTCTCCAGCACATTTTGCCAATCGGATACAACCAGGTTTCTAATCCTAATCACTAAATGATAAATATGCACGAACACCTAAGTATTCGTGGCCAATCAGCACTCCATTCTCAGGGCTTGAAGCCGACTGCTTTCGCTCCCTTTCAAATTGTTTATCAAGAAACAGGTTGTACACATCTACGCCAATGGGCCCACTACCCCTTAACTGACCCCGTTCCTTGCCCCTGCAGGCACCCCACTCCCAGGCCAGATGGAGGACCTCCTCTACGACCTGCTGGACCTGCGGGTCTACGTCAGCGCCGACTACGTCAAGAAGATCCCCTGGACATAATGACCTCCCTAACAGCCCGCTTATCTCAAAGGTGAGTGACAGGGCCTTCTTCGCTGAGTATACTTGCCTGAAGCAGCAGGGAGACGTGTTGTATCCTGGCGTAGTCTACGGTAAACTATTCAGTATTTGTTGCACCAGCTCTAGGACACGGAATGCTCCTCCTTCTTCTTCTTCTTCTTCTTCTTCTTTTTCTTCCTTATGATACCGGCAGTTTGTGTGAAGGTTTCGTGCGTCAGAAGACTGCACGGCTGTTAATGTTGGGAGACGCGGCCGTGGTCACGTGAGTAGTAAGATCTGGAAGGTGTTGTTTGTGCTGTCCGCTGGTGTAAGGTGTTGTTTGTGCTGTCCGCTGGTGTAAGGTGTTGTTTGTGCTGTCCGCTGGTGTAAGGTGTTGTAAGCTGGTTGTAAGGTGATCAACGGTTCTCTCTGTCAAACACCTCAGGAGCGTGCAAATGTTCTTGCTGAATGTCTTAAAGTTACCCTCTCAACACCCTTCATGCCCAAGAACTCCCTCTCAGACAAGAAATTGACCGTGCCATACTGCTACCCATGCTCGGCGTCGACAACATGTACACCTTAAGCGAGCTACAATTAGCCTTAAGCCGCCTACCTCTTGGCAAGGCACCTGGAGAGGATGGAATTCCATATGAACTCATTAAATATCTTCCATCGGCTGCACATAGTACTCTTCTAAACTATTACAACCTATGCTAGACTCACGGAAATATTCCCTCACAATGGCAGACCAGTATTATTCTTCCTTTCATTAAACCAGGAAAAGACCCATCCCAACCTGCGTCATACAGACCTATTTCCCTACTATCATGCCTCAGTAAGGTCATGGAAAGACTCATACATACTCGCCTCCAATGGTACCTTGAGTATAATAATATTATAATGTCACTCCAAGCTGCATTTCGACCGCAATGCTCCATACTTGATCAAATACTCTGCCTTGAATATGAAATCCGCACCTCTCTCAGAAGCAGCAAATTTTGTATTGTTCTCTACTTAGACCTCAAAGGAACTTTTGATAGCATTCCTCATACTTGCCTCCTGGCAAAGCTTGTACGTTTAGGCGTACAAGCAAGGCTCCATACTAAGCCCAACCCTTCTTGAAGCATTCTCAGCAGATTTGCCTAACACCCATTCTGTTCCCATACGTCGACGACTTAACATTGTATTATTCAGACAGAGCCTTACCTAATACAGTCTCAACAATGCAAACAGCACTTGATCACCTCATAGATTGGACACAACAATGGGCCTTCAAGTTAGTACTACCAAAACCTATTATCAAATTTTCACTAAAAATAGACTTGCTCATTTACCCACCTTCACAATGCACAACATTCCCATCCAACACGTACGAGAACATAAATACCTTGGCATGCACTTAGACTCTCCCTCACTTACCTGGACAGCACACATTCAACACCTTAAACAGACGACACAACCCCGACTCGCCATACTTAAAGCCCTCACTGGCACCACCTGGGGAGCACACCATAAAATCTTGCTCCGTTTCTATACAACCTACATTCGCAGCCAACTAGACTATTGTTGCTAAGCATATGCGTCGGCTGCGCCTACTAACCTACAGAGCCTCGAGGTCATCCAAAACAATGCCATGCGACTTATATGTGGCGCAATGCGTTCCACTTCTATCCTCGGACTTTACGGGGAAACGGGCCTCACAAGCCTAGCCACCAGACGAGACATAATGTGTTCCAACTATCTGTCACTCTGTACCACTGCTCACCAGACACACCCATACGGATCAAAAATTAACCCAACAGTTAACCCACATAACCCCCGCTTCCCAACCAATCACTCACAACCTTTCCTCACACGGGCTACAAATAACCTCAATATAGACCTCTCTCTACTCCAAAACTCTGAAACCCAACTTACTGTTCCCCCTATTCCACCCTGGCTTTATACAACTTCTAATACATCAATACAACTCGAAGACAACATTCCAAAGTCTGCACCAAACTCAGCCATAGCCTCAGTCTTTGTCTCAGCAATGAAAAATTGCTACCCAAATACCACAGAGATTTATACAGATGGATCTCGCATCATCATGAACAACGTACCCTCGGTCACTAGCGCTGTATGGATACCGGAATACCATCTCAAGCAGGGATGGCGGTTACCAAACCAACTATCTATTTTCACAGCTGACTTATATGCCTTATATCAAGCTCTCCAAATAATCACAACATTACCAATCGAGACATATACAATCTGCAGTGACTCCAAGAGTGCGATTCAAGCCATTACATACTCTTCAAAAACGTGCAAGGAGTTTGTTTACCCATGTCTTCAACTTCTTCATGAACATCGATTGAACGGTTATGATACCTCTATCCAATGGGTCCCAGCACATTGTGGTATTCTCCATAATGAACTAGTAGATCAACTAGCCAAAGCAATGCACAACACACCTCACATTACCCGTCATCCAATTCCCCATGTTGCACGTAAAGGAGCCTTCAAAAATGCCATCACTCAAGATTTTGCGACGAAATGGAAACCGTCATGCTCACCTTTGTACTATGGGTCCATTAAAAAGAAATGGGAAACTTGGAAACATGTCAGATATAAAAACAGAGAAATTGATATAGCGATGACCAGATTAAGGCTGCGACACACCAAACTAGCGGCACACAGCTCTAAGTACAGAAAAGACATCAACGAACTCTGCATCCACTGTCAGGTGCCTGAAACAATCGAACACTATCTCCTACATTGCTTCCAACATTTTAGTGCCAGAGTAAATTTCAAACAAGTAGTTATCGCACTTAAAATACCCTTTACCATCGAGCAAATATTAGGAGGAGGTGACCGCTCGTTACAGGAAAAATACCAAATAGTCAAAGCACTGGCTAAATATCTCCAGTCGACCAACAAATTGGGTCACATCTGACCCGCGCCACATGTATACCTGGCGCCATCAACAGCTAAACACAGAAAACAACTACCTCGTGGCAACACCATGGATCAGCTGACACCATAAACACAACACACCGCCCTACGGTGCGGCAAGTCTCCCTCTAACACACACCTCTGTTCTAGTCGCCGCTCCTCTGTCTACAGCACAACGCAACAAGCACTTTTGGAGCTCTTATCATCCTCAACATAAACGCCTCTACCAACATGTGTACTGGTGCAGTCATCGGGAGGACAACCCCTTCATGCAAACTGCACCTACTATCAAGAAGAAGGTGTTGTTTGTGCTCTCAGCTGGTGTAGGGTGTTGTTTGTGGTCTCAGCTGGTGTAGGGTGTTGTTTGTGCTCTCAGCTGGTGTAGGGTGTTGTTTGTGGTCTCAGCTGGTGTAGGGTGATGTTTGTGCTCTCAGCTGGTGTAGGGTGATGTTTGTGCTCTCAGCTGGTGTAGGGTGTTGTTTGTGGTCTCAGCTGGTGTAGGGTGATGTTTGTGCTCTCAGCTGGTGTAGGGTGTTGTTTGTGGTCTCAGCTGGTGTAGGGTGATGTTTGTGCTCTCAGCTGGTGTAGGGTGATGTTTGTGCTCTCAGCTGGTGTAGGGTGTTGTTTGTGGTCTCAGCTGGTGTAGGGTGATGTTTGTGCTCTCAGCTGGTGTAGGGTGATGTTTGTGCTCTCAGCTGGTGTAGGGTGTTGTTTGTGCTCTCAGCTGGTGTAGGGTGATGTTTGTGCTCTCAGCTGGTGTAGGGTGATGTTTGTGCTCTCAGCTGGTGTAAGGTGATGTTTGTGCTCTCAGCTGGTGTAGGGTGATGTTTGTGCTCTCAGCTGGTGTAGGGTGATGTTTGTGCTCTCAGCTGGTGTAGGGTGATGTTTGTGCTCTCAGCTGGTGTAGGGTGATGTTTGTACTCTCAGCTGGTGTAGGGTGTTGTTTGTGCTCTCAGCTGGTGTAGGGTGATGTTTGTGCTCTCAGCTGGTGTAGGGTGATGTTTGTGCTCTCAGCTGGTGTAGGGTGTTGTTTGTGCTCTCAGCTGGTGTAGGGTGATGTTTGTGCTCTCAGCTGGTGTAGGGTGATGTTTGTGCTCTCAGCTGGTGTAAGGTGATGTTTGTGCTCTCAGCTGGTGTAGGGTGATGTTTGTGCTCTCAGCTGGTGTAGGGTGATGTTTGTGCTCTCAGCTGGTGTAGGGTGATGTTTGTGCTCTCAGCTGGTGTAGGGTGATGTTTGTACTCTCAGCTGGTGTAGGGTGTTGTTTGTGCTCTCAGCTGGTGTAGGGTGATGTTTGTGCTCTCAGCTGGTGTAGGGTGTTGTTTGTGCTCTCAGCTGGTGTAGGGTGATGTTTGTGCTCTCAGCTGGTGTAAGGTGATGTTTGTGCTCTCAGCTGGTGTAGGGTGATGTTTGTGCTCTCAGCTGGTGTAGGGTGATGTTTGTGCTCTCAGCTGGTGTAGGGTGATGTTTGTGGTCTCAGCTGGTGTAGGGTGTTGTTTGTGGTCTCAGCTGGTGTAGGGTGTTGTTTGTGCTCTCAGCTGGTGTAGGGTGTTGTTTGTGCTCTCAGCTGGTGTAGGGTGTTGTTTGTGCTCTCAGCTGGTGTAGGGTGTTGTTTGTGCTCTCAGCTGGTGTAGGGTGTTGTTTGTGCTCTCAGCTGGTGTAGGGTGTTGTTTGTGCTCTCAGCTGGTGTAGGGTGTTGTTTGTGCTCTCAGCTGGTGTAGGGTGTTGTTTGTGCTCTCAGCTGGTGTAGGGTGTTGTTTGTGGTCTCAGCTGGTGTAGGGTGTTGTTTGTGCTCTCAGCTGGTGTAGGGTGTTGTTTGTGCTCTCAGCTGGTGTAGGGTGTTGTTTGTGCTCTCAGCTGGTGTAGGGTGTTGTTTGTGCTCTCAGCTGGTGTAGGGTGTTGTTTGTGCTCTCAGCTGGTGTAGGGTGTGTTTGTTGTCTCAGCTGGTGTAAGGTGTTGTTTGTGCTCTCAGCTGGTGTAGGGTGTTGTTTGTGCTCTCAGCTGGTGTAGGGTGTTGTTTGTGCTCTCAGCTGGTGTAGGGTGTTGTTTGTGCTCTCAGCTGGTGTAGGGTGTTGTTTGTGCTCCCAGCTGGTGTAGGGTGT